ATCAGCTTCTGCTGCCCTGGGGGGGGGGGCGGGAGTCAGCCCCGCAGGCCTGGCACCCACGCGGGCACCCTGAGGCAGCGGCGCGTTACCCGACGGGCCAGCAGGTGGCGCCAGCACTCGCCACCAGGAGGGGAAACACCAGGGAGCGAGCCCCCTCTCTTCCCGGCAGCCTCAGGGGCCGGGGTGGGCCCTGGAGCCAGGCCCGGCCATCCGCCCTCCAGCCCCGACCAGGGTGGGATGGCTGGGTGAGCCTGAGGGCAGCAGGGGAGACAGGGGGACAGGAGCACCCGACGGCAGAGATCGGTCACCACGAGGACCGCGGCAGCCACCTGGCCACGCGGGCGCGTCCTCGGGGGAGCGAGTACTGAGGAGCCAGAGCCGCCTCGCCCCTGGATGGAGCCGTGCCTGAGCCAGGCCTTCAGCACTTCGGGGTGATGTGAGCAAACACATTGCTCCTGTGATCTGTAGCCAAGATGATCTAAACTGCTGCGGTAACCTTTACAAACGTCCAAACCAGCCCGGCCGGCTGGCTCAGGGGTTGAGCGTCGACCTAGGAACCAGGAGGTCAGGGTTTGATTCCTAGTCAGGGCACAGGCCTGGGTTTCCTGCTCGGTCCCCAGTCGGGGGCGTGCCTGAGGCAGCTGATCCATGATGCTTTCTCAGCGTTATTTCTATCTCCCTCTCCCTCCCTCTCTGAAACCAATTAAAAAATCTTTTTTTTTTAAAAAAAGAAACTGGTTTGGCTCAGTGGATAGAGCGTCGGTCTGCGGACTGAAGGGTCCCAGGTTCGATTCCGGTCAAGGGCATGTTCCTTGGTTGCGGGCACATCCCCGGTAGGGGGTGTGCAGGAGGCAGCTGGTGGATGTTTCTCTTTCATTGACGTTTCTGGCTCTCTATCCCTCTCCCTTCCTCTCTGTAAAAAAAATCAATAAAATATATAAAAAGAAAAAAGAAATATTGCCGAAGCCAGTTTGGCTCAGTGGATAGAGCGTCAGCCTGTGGACTGAAAGGTCCCGGGTTCGATTCCGGTCAAGGGCATGTACCTTGGTTGCAGACACATCCCCAGTGGGGGGCGTGCAAAAGGCAGCTGATCGATGATTCTCTCTCGTCGATGTTTCTAGCTCTCTATCCCTCTCCCTTCCTCTCTGTAAAAAATCAATAAAATATATTTTAAAAAAGAAATATTAAAACAGCGTCCTGTGTGCATGCCCAGCGTCTCGGCTGTTGGCAGTGTGACAGGCAGCTGTGCGAGGGCCGCTCCCGGGTCTGTAAGTGGAGGTGGCCGCCCCCCCCCGCCCTCCCCCTTCCCCGCCCCACACGGGCTCTGTCCTGCCTCCGGGCCGGGCCCACCCGTCGGTGCCCGCCTGCCCTCGCTCAGCACCGGCGTGTCACACAGGAAGCGGCTCTGCGGCCGCCGTGGCTCCCCGCGGCTCCTCGCCCACGGCGGCGTTTCTAAGATGCCAGCAGGGCCTCCGCCCGCCGTCCAAACACTCAGGGCTCCTCGGCGGCACCGGCCCCAAATTCCTCCGAC